TTTAAGAGACAGGGACAGTGTGAGTGGGGGAGGGGCAGAGAGAGAGGGAAAGAGAGAGAATCCCAAGCAGGCTCTGCACTGTCAGCACAGAGCCCGATGCGGAGCTCAGACTCCCAAAATCGTGAGATCATAACCTGAGCCGAAACCAATAGTTGGACGCTTAACCGACTGAGCCACCCAAGTGCCCTGTTATTTTAGAATTTTAAAAATTATAATAGTAGTTTCATGTCTCTTCAGCCACATTACGCTCTAAGGTTTTTTGAACTATCTTAGGCAATAATTAATAATGATTAGTAAGAGAAGGAAAATGGATTCCAAATTGCAAATAACTGACTTGATGATAAAGTTTTCTAGCAAAATCCTTTGCAAGTTAGAGGACTCTGTACTGTTCTTGCTTACTGAAATGCCTCAATGAAATGGAAGTGGAAATAAGAGATGCCGTCTATAGGTAAAGGTAAATATTATTCACTGACTTACGAATAATGTGTTAAATATGGTTGCCAAGTTTTATGTATTTCGGACAAAATATGGCAGTCACCACTCTATAACGTTCCCATAATTCTTCTTTCAGTTTTATTGTCCTGAATTCATTTTTCTCTTTCCTCAGAGGATGTACTGAGTAAAGATGCTGGGGAATGTGCAATATGCCTTGAAGAATTGCAGCAGGGAGATACTATAGCACGACTGCCTTGTCTATGCATATATCATAAAGGGTAAGTTTATTTTTATGTTGACCAAGTTGATAGTAAAAAGATGCTTCTCGGGGCGCCTGGGTGGCGCAGTCGGTTAAGCGTCCGACTTCAGCCAGGTCACGATCTCGCGGTCCGTGAGTTCGAGCCCCGCGTCAGGCCCTGGGCTGATGGCTCAGAGCCTGGAGCCTGTTTCCGATTCTGTGTCTCCCTCTCTCTGTGCCCCTCCCCCATTCATGCTCTGTCTCTCTCTGTCCCAAAAATAAATAAACGTTGAAAAAAAAAAATATTAAAAAAAAAAGATGCTTCTCAAAGTTTCAAACATTGTTGTTAGTGCTGAAAAGTTTTCTTCTTAATTGAAACCCCCACCCATTTCTTAAAAAATAACAGCCTTTGTTTCCTGCTAGAACTAAGATTTGAGCCCAAATATGTTTGTATTCAAAAATCTACCATTTGTTAAACGTTTACTGCTACCCAGGCATTGTCCGTAATGGCTTAGCCAGGCTAGCCCATGTACACCTTGTAATAATCTCATGTTAAAATCGAAGGGATAAGCCAAGGGACCATAGGAAATCTCCCCAATGCCATGGCTAGTAAATGGAAGAGCTGAGATTTTAGCCATGCCTATTTGACTCCCAACACCCATCTGGATTCTCATAAAAAATTCTTGGTTTCAGAGCAACACAGGAAAATTGGGGGTAGAAAATTATTTAAAGCAAACACAAAAATCTAGAAAACTATAACTTTCGAACAATAAAAGGAATAAGGTAGAATTTTATTTAAAGGTAGGGGGTGGAGAAAAGCATAGAAAGCACAATAAATTATACAAAATAAAGAGACAAGAATAAATGTACTATCAGCATAATTCTAAATGAAACAAACTCACCAGTGGAAAAGAGCTTGAAAGATCAGGATATGCTGTTGATGAGTAACACTTAAATATAAGGATATAGAAAAATATGAAAGTGAGGGGATACAAAACTGTATCCAGGCAAGTATTAACTACAGGAAAACTGACAAAGCTAGAATAATAGCAGGCAAAATAAATTTTGGCAAAAATATTATTAGTATGATATGATAAAAGTATATATAAAATTCAGTTTTTGGTGAACCTAAGAACAGAGTCTCAAGGTAAAATATTTATAGAACTGTCAGAAAAGAATTCACAAATATGTCATGATAATGGGAGATTTCAATACAGTTCTCATTGTGTCAAGCAGACACAAAATGAGTCAAAACCTAGAAGAATGTAGCAACAGAGTTAACAGGTTTGTCTGATGGATGTGTGTGTATCTGCACCCAGCAATTAGCATCTTTACTTTTCAGGCACTCATTACATATGCAGAAATTGATGGCATACTAGGCCATACAGCAAGTTTGGCAAACTATGAAAAATTATACCATACAGAAAGCGGTTCTTTGGCCACTCTTAGATGTCAGTAATAAAAGATGAATTATCTTCACACATATTTTTAAGTAACTTGTGGATTAAAGAAGAAATCATAATGGAACTTAGAAACACTTGGAACTGGATAATAATGAAAAGTCTTGCCATTTTTCTAGAGTGATCCATGGAGAGTTTGTGTTAGAGTGGGGGAAAAAAGACTGGAAATCATTAAACCCAATTCTTCCTTAAGAATTTAGAAAAATGAATTAACACTGAATAGAACAAGAAAATAATAAAGGTTAGAGAAGGGAAAAAAAGGAAAAAAAAATACACTAGAGGCCAGCAAAGCCAAAAGTTTGTTTTTTGAAGACTAATGAAATAGATAAGCCTCTGGCAGGATCATCTCTAGGAGGAAAAAATGAACAATATAGGAATGACACATCAGGCATAGTAGAAATAAAAAACAAATGGAAAAATCTGTGAGAAATTTATTTACTCTTCGATTTAAAGAAAACAGGCAATTTCCTTAAGAACATTATTTTATATATTATTCATTATATATTATGTAATATATAAGTATATTTATTATGTTACTAACTATATATCTCAATATATAGTAATTACCAAGATATTTAAAAAAGAAACAGAACACGTGAATTGACTATAATAACTATTATAAGTAATTATCAAGAAAAACTTTTTAAAAAACAACAAATATTAAAAAATAAAACCCCAAAACCTAAAAAGAGGCCTACAAAATTGGTCTGACAGCAGGTTCTACCAGACGTCCAAAGAACACCATGTTAACCATTGTTAAACTCCCCTCAAGGTAGGAAAGAATGGTAGGTTCCCCCACTTATTTTGTAAAAATAGTATAAACTTGATACCAGAATCAGACAAGGAGAGTATAAAAAAGAAAATTAGAAGGTACTCTCATTTATGAACATAAATCAAAAAAAAAAAAAAAAAATACTAGCAAACCAAATTCATCAATATCTATCTGAAGTAATGCCTCATGACTAAATTAGACTTATGCTAGGAATATAAAGACATTGTAAGATTAGAAAACTTACATATGCAACATGTTAATAAAGGAGAAAGACCATATTATCTCAGTAAATGAGAAAAAATGCATTACAGTTCTATACTTGGGTATTAATGATTTCAAAACAAAAGCAAAGAATAGATGTTAGATAAACTGTTAAAATTGTTAACAGCTTACCAGGGTTTTCAAATATAAGCTCAACATGAATGTTAGTTTCATTGATAACTCAGTAAGAAAAAATAAAAGCTTTTTTTTTTTTAGAATAATATTAACACCCACAGAAACTACAATAGCAGTAAGCTATGTTAAGAATACATCCTACAAAAGATACAAGGATTTTAAAACTTTACTGAAAGATCTAGAAGATCCAAAATGTAGAGGTATATTGTCTTGTGGATAGGAAGACTCAGTGTCATAAAGATGTCACTTAATCCCAAATTAATCTATATAGTTAATATTATCCCGTTCAAATCTCGACTAGTTTTTTCATGTAACTTGACAAGTTGACTCTAAAATACACATGGACCAAAGAGTCCATATGGCAAGAACAGTCATATTCACAAAGAAGAAAACTGCTGGGGGGTGGGGGCTTCCCCTATGCAGATACATTTTAAGACTATTAATTAAGACATGTGTGGAAAGGACATAGGAATAGAGCCCATAAACACTCACGCATATATGAGAGACATCATAGCACAGGGGTTAAGAGCCTGGACTCTTGGGAGTCAAGCCTTCCTCCCAAGGTTCAAATCCCAGCCCCTCCACTAATTCACTGTGTGATCTTGATCAAGTTACTTAGTTTTTCCCTCCTTCGATCTATAAAATGAGGCGACAGTACCAACTTCATAGAGTTGTTTTGAGGTTTGAAATGAGTTAAATTTTAGAAAGTCTGGCACATGATGGATAGTATGTAAATATTTGTTAAGTAAATGAAAAAATTAAAAAATTGATTTGGCAGTGGTGGTGTTATAGCAGTAGAGAAAGAATGAACTATTCAAAGAATGGTACTGAGATCACTTGGTTATTGATGTAGAAAAACAGTTGAATCTTTATATTTGAAATAGGAATTAATTCCCGATTGAACATATGCCTATGGAAACCAAAAAAAAAACTCTTACAAGTGTTGGAAAGAATGTAGAGAAATGTTCTTGGCCTCTTTGGGGGCTACAATGCAAGCCTTCCCCCACCCCCGTATAAAAACTTGAAGGAAAAGTTGATCAATGATCTGAACTGAACCCCCAAAATTGAAGTGTGCCTGCTCTTATAAGGATACCCATCCACTGAATGTTTTTACACCCAGTTCAGTTAGGCCACGGGCTTTATTTTTAAAGTACTTGCTTGCTTCATTCATGGTTCTCAAATTTGGACCATATTAACATTTTAAAACTTTTTTTTCATCGTGATACTGTGAAAAAGTAAAAGAAAACTAGACCTCAGGCTGAGGTTTTTTTTGTTTTTTTATAATACACGAACAACAGTTGTTGTATCTGAAACAGTACTCTCCTTCAGCAACTTTCTGTAATGCAGTTAGCGCGTTGCAGTTGGTAAGTGGAAGAAACAGTGACGGTACAATGAGATGATCTTACTGGTTCATCCATAGTATTTCTCAGCACATCAGTGTTTTGCTCCAGCAAATAAAAGCAGATGAAAGCATATGTGGAAGCAAGCCATGGGAGAATACGATGCAGGTATACCGTGTTTCATTGCACTTCGTTTTATTGCGCTTCACAAATACTGTGTTGTTTTACTAATTGAAGGTTTGTGGCAGCCCTGTGGAGCAAGTCTGTGGGCACCATTTTTCCAGCAGCATCTGTATACTTCGTGTCTGTGTCACATTTTGGTAAATCTCAGAGTATTTCATACTTTCATTATTTATTTGTTAATGGTGATCTGTGATCAGTGATTATGACTCACTAAAAACTCAGATGGTAGTTAGCCTTTTTTAGCAATAAAGTATTTTTTAATTAAGGTAAAGTGTGGACATAACTTTGATATGCACTGGGAAACCAAAAAAACTATTTGACTCTTTTTATTGCGATATTCACTTTATTGCAGAGGTCTGGAACCGAACCCCCATATATGAGGTGTGCCTGCTGTTATAAAGATACCCATCCACTGAATGTTTTTATACCCAGTTCAGTTAGGCCATGGGCTTTATTTTGGAAATACTTGCTTCATTCATAGTTTGTGCATTGGGCTTTTGTCTCCATATTAATCCTTCCTTAGTCCTCTTAGGTCAAAGTTTACACCTTCGGGAAAAAATCCTGTATTTATAGTGGTATTTTAATTATTTGGAGCAAACACATCTTTGTTCTAGTTACCAGGTTGTATTGTTTGAGTGGTCTGCCTTTAACATTTTTCCCATAAGCCCTGTTACTTTTAGTGTATGATTTTGTAGACAGCAAGGACCATCAAAAATGTGTATACTATATTATAGCTGAAGTATCTGGATGATAACTTCCTGCAAACCTATAAGAAAAAGACAAAACAGAAAATTTGGCAAAAGTCACCAGTCAGTTCGGGGAAAAAAAGAGCCCCAAGTGCCAGTAAACATCCAGATGTAAGTTGGTGTACTTACTTGGTGGATAGCTGTGTAAGAGCTCTGTGCTGTCTACATCCTACAACTCCGTAATTCCACTCCTGAGACCAGGCCTCCGGGGAGTCTGTCAGTGAAAGAATGGATACATACACTGCAATATGCTTATGTTAATGGAATATTATACACAACAAAAATGTAAAAACCAGAGCCTTATTAGCAGTTGTAAATCTCAGGTTGAAAAACACGGTTAGAAAAAGCATACTTGACGGTAGCATTTGTATAAAATTTGGAACACAGAAACAATACTATATGTTGTTTTGGAATGTGTACTTATGTAGTGATAGGTTAAGAAAATGTCCAAGAATGAGAAACACCAAATTCAGAGTAATGGTTTCCTGCTGGAGTTGGGAGAAGGGATTATAATATTTCAAATAACATGGGTTGATAGCAATTTACATGAGAAGGACCCTGGGTTTTAAATGATTAATTTCTCAGTATGAGCCGAAATTACATGGCTGTAAAATAAGAAGTGCCCATTTTAAATCACATAGGTACCGTGAATTGTTAATTCATGTGGAGTATTTTGTTCAGTGCTTCATTTAAAGGGGTATTCCAGTAGACCAGGGGACTGCTGGAGCCAAGTAAGTAGGATAGAAAGCAGGCTGAAAACCATGTCAGAAGCCAATTGGGGCAAGGTTATTTAGACAGCAGAAGTCTTAGTGGCAACAGAAATTAGTGGTTGAAAGAATATTATATGGATGAAATACTTTATCTTTTTTCCGTTCAGTTTTGTCCATTATTTTTACTTACCAAATTATCCTGTCAGGATATGAGAGTGATAAATACTAATTTTGCCTGTAAGCATATTTACCAAGCCTGCTAGCTTTGTGGCGTGTGCCAATTTGACACATCAGTGGGAGGGAGTGTTGAGCAGTTTGAATTCTGCTTGGGTAACTTCCTAGCTGCTGGGCAAGTTACTTAGCCTTATCGAAGGCTTTACCATTTATCACAGTGAAAAAGAACTTTCTGCAGTGATGAAAATGTTTTGTATCTGTGCTAATAGAGGGGCAAATAGCCACGTGGCTTTTGAGTGCTTGAAATGTGGTCGTACGACTGAGGAATTGCATTTTTCTTTTATTTAATTGTAATGAATTTAAATAGCCACATGTGGCTTGTGGCTACTGCAATGAACAATGCAGATTACAGTGAGGATAATTATATGCACCCTAGTATTTAACTTCCAATAAAATCATGAAATACTTTATAAATACCAAGTGGATGATGGTATATTTACTTGTGTATGTATTGTGTAGGGTGGGATAGAATTAAAATAAGTATTCAATACTCACATATAAAGATAGTCTTTTAAAAGGCGATTCAGGGGCACCTGGGTGGCTCAGTCGGTTGAGTGTCCGACTTTGGCTCAGATCATGATCTCACAGCTCACGAGTTGGGGCCCCGTGTCGGGCTCTGTGCTTACAGCCCAGAACCTGGAGCCTGCTTCAGCCTGCTCCCTCTCTTTGCCCATTCCCCGCTTGCGCACGCTCGCTCCTCTCTCTCTCTCTCTCTCTCTCTCTCTCTCTCTCTCTGAAAAATGGATAAACACTGAATAAAAGATTTGAGAGGTGATGCAGTATTGTCCAGAATTAGAATTTAAAAGCTGCTTTTGATTACATTGATCGGTGGCATGAACAGAATAATACTTGTGTGAATGAATGACTGTTTTGGAGAGAGAAATATCTGTCCAGATTTGTCACTTAATTTTGAATACTGGTAAAGTAGTGGTTCTTCAGATTTGCTTTTGGTGTGATGGTTGTTCTATTTAAACTTGAAAGTACTTTATAGTATAATTTTGCAAAGATTATTTCCTTAACTTCTTTGAGTAATCAAAATGTGGGGCGCCTGGCTGGGTCAATCGGAAGAGCATGCCTCTCTTGATCTCCGGATCATGAGTTTGAGCCCCACGTTGCGTGTAGAGATTACTTTTAAAAAAAATCAATAAACTTAAAAGGTAAGTAAATAATCAAAATGTAGTAAACAGATCCTTATCTTTTACTTAGATATGCCAAATATGATCATTTAAAATACTGATTTTTTTTCCTGAAAAGATACATTAAAGTCAAGAAGCAAGAATTTTTTATTACAGCTGTCATGATATAAATAAGCATAAGTGTTTCAGTTTTTCTGGTTTTGTTCTTTTCTAGCTGCATAGATGAATGGTTTGAAGTAAATAGATCTTGCCCGGAGCACCCTTCAGACTAAGCATCAGCTTCCTGTTTTATAGGTAATTCTCCCTTTTTCTGTTCTAATTGGCTTTTTAATTGTTACCTGAGTTATACATTCTTTGCCACCATTTTTATTCATTTATTGAAGCTGTGTGTGTGCGTGCGTGTATGTATCCCAGACATTGTGTTTGGCTACTATATAGAAAACTCACGTGAAAAGATATGTAGAAAACAACTTTGCTGATTCCTGAAAAGAGTCATACATTGAGTAACTTCCCCATTCTTGGTACTTTAAAATACATTGGCTTGTTTAATTTTAGTTTAGTGCTTAAACCCAGGAACTCTATGGTCGATATATTACTTCATACATGTACTACATATTAGTACACATTACCCCATTTTACCCCTGAAAACCTCAAGGCCTAAGTATTTAATTTCATGACTTTAAGAAGCAATATGCATAATAGTCAAAGGTCATGTATTTAGCAAACAGAATCAAATTCTGTACTCTTATCCCTCACTTTACAAGTATATTCTTGGGTAATGCAATATATTGTAATTCTAATCATAATTAATTAGCATTTATGTTGCATTATGTGCCAGGCATTGTTCCAAGCATTTTACATCTATTAATAACTCATCTAATTGTTGGAACAACCCTTTGAACTCAGGACTCTTGCTATTCCCATCATATAGATGAGGAAACAGTTAAAGAGAGGTTAAGAAACCTGACCTGCCAAGCCTAATTCCTCGGTAGAACTGGGATTTGAACCTAGGCATATTATCTCCAAAGGTTGTGTTCTTAGCTATTTTGCTGCTATTAGGTAGGAGCGTTTTCTTCAAAAAGTTGCATCATGCATTCATTCATTCAGTTCAATCTTTCACCTTAGTATCCTCAGCATATAATAAAGTGCCTGTCCGTACAGTAGGAGGAAAAAAGAAAAAAAATTGAATTTTAAACCAAATACAGAATTTGTTTTGGTCTGCTGATTTAGCTTATTCATTATTCTGCATTATCTAAAAATGTTCAGTGAATTGAATGATAACCTCACTTGACTATTGCTTTTTTCCACATTCTGTGAAGTGTGTTCATTTGACTTTGAAAAAAATAGTTAACTTAAATGTTATCTTCATATATGTGAAAAGCTTTTTACGAGAAGACTTGGAGAAATGACATAAAGCATTGGGATTTTACATCAAGGCATAACATGTTAGCGGATCCTGGAATCGTTTCAGGAGTTGGAGCCTCTGTGTTCGGAGGTTTAAGGTAGCAGTCGACAACAGTCTTTCCTGAATGGTTAAGACCAAAGACAGGAAACTGGTGCAGAAAGTTGCTCTTAATGATGATGATTTAATAGCAGATTAGAATATTGACAGGAGATTTGAGGTAACTTAATAGCCACCATAGCAACCAAAGAAAGAACTGCAACATTAATTGAGGCCTCTGTCACAATTACAGTAGGGTATGCGTGTGAAATGTGAAAGCCTTGGTGAACTGTAGGGTACTAGAGGACTGTCAGCTTTTGAACCTTCTACTGTGAGCTGATTCAGACCACTTTGACACATTTGAAATATGAATTGGGATAAGATGGCCATGTAAAGAAAGTGTGGCGATAGAGTGATATTTTGAGTATATGTGCATAAATGTTTTTATTTGGCTGTGAAAAGGTTTTTTGAAGAGGAAGATGCTTTGAAATATCCTCAGTGTAACCTTATGTCTGGGCCAATAAACTAAAACTATAGCTAAAACTGTAGCAGCATTTTAAGAGAAGTACTAAAAACCAATGCTAATAAAATGAAATTTTTATCATAGTGTTTTATGTACCAAGGTGTAGTATGTCTAAATTTTTCACCTGTGGGTAAAATTAGTCTTCTATAGGCAGTAAACTTTTCTGTGTGAGGTTGAATTTTATGGTTAAAAATTTTATTTTATAAAAAAGTTTTGGAGCACCTGGGTGGCTCAGTCAGTTAAGCGACCAACTCTTGATTTTAGCTCAGGTCATGATCTCATAGTTTCTGAGATTGAATCCGCATCAGGCTCTGCACTGACAGCACAGAGCCTGCTTGGGATTCTCTCTCTCCCTCTCTCTCTGCCCCACCCCCCCACTCACATTCTCTTTCTCTCTCTCTCTCTTTCAAAATAAATAAACTCTAAAAAGTAAATAAAATTTAAAAGTTATTTCATGATCTGATCAGCTAAATTCTTTTAGCGTCACAATGAGTTATGGGGTATAAGGAACATGTGTCTCATCTCATAGTCATTATGCATATTGGTCTTAAACAGCATTTCAGTTTCATTACCTATGTATTGGTGTTATCTTTTCATTGTTTTTGGTTTTTTTTTTTCTTTTTGTATATAGAACCTGAGTTTGGTAACAGCTGCCTTAGAAACTTTAGAAATCAATGGAATCTGTCTCTGTGGGTCTTGAGTCATTTTTAAGAATGTATAGACATGGAATGTCTTGATTCTTTTATATTTTTGCTCCTGTTCTAACTGCTCTTATTTGTCACATGATAAATTCCTCCTATCCCATTTGCTGTCCCAGATTAAACATACAGGTTTTGTTTTTTGGTTTTTTTTTTTAAGTATTTTTTAAGTTTATTTGTTTCTAGAGAGAGAGAGAGGGGCAGAACAAGAATCCCAAACAGGCTCTGTGCTTAGTGCAGAGCTGGACACAGGGCTTGAACTCATGAACCATGAGAACGTGACCTGAGCTGAAACCAAGAGTTGGATGCTCATCCAACTGAACCATCCAGGAGCCCCTAAATGTATGGGTTTGAGGAGTATTTCTTGTTAAGACATTAAAAAAAAAATGTAGCAACACTTGCAACATTTCTGATATTTTTTAGCATAAGAATTTAATGGATGGCCCAAAAGAGATACAGGACTGTCTAAGGTTTTGATTAGTCAGGAAACTGTTTACCATTTTTATTTGGTGATTTTAATTATATGGGGGAAGGTTAATAGGTATGCATAGGTATTGTGTGTGTGTGTGTGTGTGTGTGTGTGTGTGTGTGTGTGTGTGTGTGTGTGTGTGTGTTTTCTGTACTCTGGTCTTAATTGTGGAAGGAAAATGACTGTGATGGATATTTTTTCATGACTGTTTTAAGCTTTAACTGTCTACCTAAATTTCTGCTTGCAGAACATTGATTTCATGAGTTTTCAGAATAGTAAGTAAATGTATGAAAACTTAAAGCAACTAAAAGCAGTGTTCCTGGAAATGGTGTTGTATTTTGATTTGTATTAGTATTAGGATCACTGCTTGAACTTCATGTGTCTGCTTCTCCACAGGTTTTCTTGTGTTTTCAAGATGCTTAAACTGAGAGGAGATGAGGATCTGTGCTCTGGAAAAAAAAAGAACAAAACTGCAGGCATACTCCAGCCAGAATCAGAGTTCTGTGAGACTTGGTAACACAGAGATGGACAATCACGAGGAAAAACCTGCTGAAGAGAGGGCAGTTGCCACAGAACTCAGTGTCGAACATGCATATAGAGGACACACAGGGATTTTGAAAATGCGCACCTCCTTACTGGTCATCTACATAAGAAGTAATACTGATAAACATTTTTGTATTCAGACGCAAGTTAACTGATTTAAAAGTTGATTTTATTAAGTTCTCTAGGCTGTAACTAGTTGTGTTCGACTTGTTTTTTTTCTTGTTTGGGGTCACTTTTATTTTCCCTACATGATGTTTCTGTATTGTCTGTTCTTAAACTGAAGACCACATAAATGTACTTTCCTATAAATTAAAGTCTTAAATGTGAAACCAAGAATGTAATCAAGCAGTAAAACATTTTCTGAATGTGACTCAGATTCTTCATTTTTTCTCCTATATGGTAGAAAATAGACTTCTGCATAGAGAGTAAAAATGATTATTATTTTAAATTCAAGGGTTTAACTTATTATCAGAATGCAGTCCAAAGAGTAAATCGGTTATGATTACATTTTAATGAACTGAGCAATCAAGATTGTCTATTGAATTGCAATTTATTACACGTGTTATTTCTCTTAAGTAAAACTAAAACTACTCAGTAGTTAATCAGTAATGAATCATCTTGCAGCAGATACTATTAGCTTTAAGCAATACAAAAATACCAATTTCAAGTGCTGCCAGCTATAATTGTTTATGGGTATTTTGTTTGTTCTTTTCATGTAATTATTTCATTGTGCTTGCATCTCCAGACAGTTTTCCCACATTTGGGTAGAAGATGTTTAGCAGGTTGTAAACTTAGTAACTTATGAAAAGGGTAAAATTTTCTTGAGTGAAACTTGAATTAACTTGAGGGGACATTTATATACTTTAAAAAATCAGAATTTAAGGGATGCCGGATTTATAGCAATTTGCATCTTTAATTTTCGAATAATCTGGAAGTTAGTGTTTGATAAATGATTTTAAAGCAAATATGAAGATTTGTTAATTTATAATTTATTAATGTGTTATTACTGTAATTGAAAATGTTATAGAATAATAGACTTTTAAAATTCAGTCTGTGAAAGAAATGTATAAGACAAAATTATGTGAATAAATATTCCC